TTTGTAAATTATTTAAGTAACTTGATCAACAGATAAACCCTATTTTTGTCTTCACGAATCGCCTTTTTCCAAACCTAAATGTGGTCATTGAATTTTCTGCACGCCCTGGAAAGATTTATATGCGAAGATCCCCAGCTTTGTTTGCCTAGGTTGTCTGTGTCGTCAGTTTACAGTTGATAGTACACAAAGTGACTTTCCTACTGTCATGTTAACATTATAAAACATTCCTTGTTCACTGGCAAAGAACTGGACTCTGAAGGCTTCTAAGAAGTAAGTTGGTTTTTTGAAACACTCTATATTTACTTAAGAATTCTGATACTTTAAAGTACTTAATAGGAAATCGCCAGGGTCATTTCAATGATAGTAAGTGAACAATATGTAAACTAAAGGTAGAAATTTAAAAAGATGGTAAAAATTGAATCATGAAAAAAAATCAATGTAAAGTGATAATGTAGCACAGGTATATTCTGTCTTCCATTTAGAATCTTTCGAGTATTAGCGTTTTAATATGAGAGAAGAAAATTGTGGTAGCTCACAAGAGCATCCTAATTATTTTCAAATTAAAGACGTTTTATGATAATATATCAATCTACTTGTCACAAACCCGTCTTTTTGCTAAGAGAAATTCTTCTATAAGGCAAATAATTAAATCTAATTACAAAGATATTGGATAGAATTTGCTTTTATAGCATTGACATGAAACCTTCTACATCAGATTTCATATGGTGAGTTAAAGTGTATTATTTTATATAATGGTTTTATATTTAGGAATTCAGTTTGTTAATATTTGTTCAACTTCCAAATTTTGCTATTATTTGACTTTGTGTTGAAATATGAAATATTCGTTTTTATTTTCAACCATTTATGATGCTTAACTAAGGTTTCGGTTGCATAAAACAAATAATATTCTTGCGTTCATATCTTGAACAAGAATACTTTATATATATATATATATATATATATATATATATATATATATATATATATATATATATATATATATATATATATATATATATAGTACTAAGTACATCGTTTGAATTTGGACTAGTGCACTTATCTGAAATTAATTAAGATAAACCTCTACTTCTCATACACCAATGAATCCAAGTATAAATGAGAAATGACCAGTGATGCTTTCAAGAAATCTTTAAATCAGCATCATGCATCTTTTTGCTGAGATTTATCTGTATTGGACGTACATGTAGAACCTTATTTAATAACGCGTAATAAAATAAGTAAAAGAAAGGACTTTAAAAGACAAATGTAAATGTACTCTACTTGTTTCTAAAGACCAATATTTCATCGTTTTTTAAGAGTATAGATATTGCTACAGTGTATTCTAACAGCAAATATTATTCATTTTTAGGTCACCCGGGCCACTCTGGTGACCTATTGCTTTCTGTTTTTGTCCGTCGCCGTGCGTTGTGTGATAACTTGTGAACATTTTCAACTTTCTCAGGAACGAGTGAACCAGTATCAACTTGTTTTGGTATATAGCATCCATGGGTAAAGATAGACAAATTTTGTACATTTAAGGTAAAATTCAGTGGTCTTGAGTCTATGGTTCAGTTCCCAGGGTGGGGATAAATTGTATCTTATCTTTTCTATTCTCGAATTGTTAGGAGGCAAGCTGAAGAAATATTTAAAAAAATAATAGTCCTCATAAAACAGTTAAATTTTTGTCACAAGACACCAGAGAGGTCCAATTTCAGGTGAGGCTAGAGTGGTCATAGCTTAAGTCGAATGCTGACTGAGTTTTTCATACTATAATTGTTAGATCATTGAATTGTCTATGGATTTTTCCTTTCCCCGATCATGACAGGGAACACAAGGCGGGTGAGACCGGTCGACAGGGGATGCTCACTCCTCCATGGCACCTGATCCCCTCTCTGATGCTTTTAGAGGTCCGTGTTTGCTCTGCTCCCGATTTGTATTGTTTCAATGGACTTTTGAGCTTGATTATGTTCGTTTTCTCAATATTTCATAGCCTGAGAACTCATGATACTCAGGTGACCATAAAGGCCCATGGGACTCTTGTTTGCTGTTACGATATATTTTTTGAAAGGGAGAGTTTCCAATTTCATTAGAACAGGGTATTGCATAGTGAAGCTTAATAGAAGTTCTGTACCTTGGCTAAATTGTAAATAAAACGTATTTTTATCGACTGAGTTATCAAAAAGCTATTTCTGAAGATAACCTACCATAATCACGGAAAAGATATTTAGTTCTCTATTTTAGTGGTGTGTTTACCTTGATATATAAATATTCAATTAGTCAATATAACAAAATACCACAGACTTCAAAAAACAAAGTTATTCAAAACTCAAAGGATAGTTTACCTTGGCATTTTAATACTCGTATCGTATGTCGTATGTATGTAGTTTATGCGAGTATTGCTTGATTTATATAACGTATAACCTATTCTAAAAGAACTATCCCAGGAATTCGATGTCAATCATATATGGTAAAAAAATCAAACACTATGTGGTATTAATGTTCAAAATAATTTTCTAAAAGGGTCTCTTACTGGATTTCACCCAGTTACTACTGAAATTCTATTTACAGTTTTTTTTTTAAAACTAGCGTTCCATATATATAATTACAACAAAACACTTTTTAGAAGACGTTTTACGACATCATCTATGGGTCTGAAGAGTCCCATTGAATACGTTTTTTAATTCATTATTCCTTTGATTATTAATTAGACCTTATAAATGGCAAATTATTGAACCATATATTATGCTTTTGATATTAGCCATTGTAATAAATCATATTTCATTACAGAACTGACTTTTGCAATATAAGGCAATGGTAGTCCTATTTTAGTAAAGAGCAGATTATGGATTCGAGTATTCGGAATACAGAGTGCAAATTAATGATATATGTCACATAAAAACAAAAGTTAATGGTCTTTACTATCGTACATGGTATTTTATAGGATAAGAAAAGGCAAACTATTTCTCAAAGTATATGGACGTTTTAATACCTTGAATGCACTAAATAATCCTCTTACTTTGAGAATAGATGGCTGTAAAAAGGTATAGAATAGTCTTTTGGAGCTTAAGAATTCTCATCTAATGATAATTTTCTTGCCTAATTAAAAAATTTCAATTTTTTTTATTAAAACTTTAAGCTGATTTTTTTTTATACCCCCCCCCCCCTCCTGATGGAGGTGTCCGTTCGTCTGTCTTGGAGGTATCCATCTCTTGTCCACAACTCCTTCTATACCACTGAATAAAATTTAATGAGACTTTCAAGAATCTTTATTACATAGTGTCATTGTGCACCTCCTATTTTATGTTTTGATCGGACTGTTATTTGGGCTTTCCCATAGCAAAATAGGGACTTTGTCTATATACTCGTGTTGAGCAGGGGTATCATTTTGTGAGCTCAGTGCTCACAGTACCTCTAGTTTCAACTGTTAAAGAAAATTCAATAACAGTATTACAAACAACATACTCAATATAGGGCATAATTATTGTAAATATGAAGGTATTTATTTGAATGTAGTATGTAAATTGGAGGATGAAATATGGCATTCAAATCAGCTTTGTCTTGAATTGTCGAACATTGTATAACGTGATGCAAACAAATTTCCATACCATTATCTCTGTGAATTTGGCCACAATCTTGAAAAATCTGGGATCTGATATCAAGAATATTGCAGTAAAAAATTGGCGTTATATGATACCAAATATGAGTTGTAAGGAGGTGGGTGAACATAGCTTGCAGAAAGCCTATAGCTTTAGATAAATTAGAGTAAAGTTCTCATTATTGAAGTTAATGAAACTATGATAAACAAAACTTTTCTGAGGAAAATTTTCTCGGTAAAATTTATTCTTTTATTAAAAGTTAATGTGGTATTTGAGGGGTTCGAACCATAGCATTAAAAACCCTAAGTATCATTTTCTTTCGAGACTAGCACGCTAACCACTAGACTACACATGTCTTGATGAATAGTGGCATTTAAATCAGGTTTGTGATATGACCCTTGACTTCAAGTATTTCTCGAAAAGATGCGAATGTTATATCTTAAAAGTATATTTTTAAGGTATAGTGGGTCTTTGCTCAATATTTGTGGTAATCAAAAAATGTATATTTTTATGCAAACTTTGAGGATTAACTTTCAAAAAAATGGAGCTAAGACCCACTCATATCGAAAAATAGTGTTTTAGTATGAGAAAATGACTTTTTTTGCCCTCTTTAGTGTGTGTATAATATTTCATGAGCAAATAATTTCAATCTTTTAGAGATTTTTGCAAATTGTAGAGATTTAACATAAAGAATATTTTAATGTTAGATGAAATATCAAGGAAAATTTTGATATAATTGAGATTCATTTTTTCATCTTCATGTTTGTCACACTATAGGCTTTTCGCTCGACATGTTCACCCATCCTCTTTTGATACCAATGGTATGGTCATTTTAAAACTAAATGAATATACATAGACATATGAATATACTGAAACTTAACTAAATAACTAAGGAATCAGCATAATGAGTCTGATATCTAGGCATTGGCATTTTAAAATCAGCAATAATCATATCCGGAATAGTAAGAAAAGTTCCGCCTAAATTTGAATTGACGGAATTATTGGAATTAGGAATATATTTGTGAAGAAGCTTTTGTTTTATCTCTCCGTCTGTACCATACAATTTGATAACAAAGGATTAAAACTTTCTGATAAAATCCATGTAATAAATAATTAATCCCGTCGTACGGTACCTCTAGCTTTAAGCCATATTGTCTTTTTGATTTTCCCCAAGTGTTCCGTAAATGAAGATCACAAAAACAAAGTGAAATGCATATTTTATTACACAGTCCATCCTTTAAGTAATGAAGAGGCAGTTATGCATATTGATAAGAGGAATTGAACATTATTAAAAAGAAATATTTATTTTCATTCAAAAAAATACTTCACGTAGTGTTTCTATAAAAATTACACCTGCAGCTTATGGAATTTATTATTTCGATAAATCTGAACAAGGAGCTGAAAAATCTTTATTATTTCGTAGCGTGGGACTCCATAAGGTTCAAGTATATAGCAAACCCAACAGGTAAACATATATGTCTTTACAGGCAGTAAGTTATCTCTCTCTCTCTTAAAAAAATATTTGATTCCGACACCAATTGTTCTGCTTCTACAACTTTTTTTTTCATTTTATTTTAACAGTCATGGAGAAAATGCTGTTTGCTGTGTTTTTCTGGATCTGTACAGGCTTGGCGCTTTCTCTGGAAGATTTTCCTAAATGGGGTACACAGAATGACAACAAATTTGGAGAAATTTTATCAAGAGTATCCAACGAACTGTTCAAGAAGGAACTCGCCAAAAGCGCCGGAATTTTGGGAGAACCTCGTTCAAACACAGATGACTTGATCTTGCTTCTCGGTACTATGGTCGAACAAAAGCCTATGACTTTTTGTCGAATTTTGTGGAATACCGGCGACGATGATAGCTTGGATGAATGTGTTGCGTTCCTCATGCAGATTAGAAATCAAATGTTGGTGAACAAAGAGCAAAAAAGACAAGGTACTTACAGATTTAACTCGAGTGGCTGGAAACGTAAAAAGCGCGATACTTCAAACAAATTGTCCAGAGAGGAAATTATGAAAATAATCCAACAAATTCTGAAGGTTAAGAAAAGGCGAAAATTCCAGGCTAGTGGATGGTGATTCGATGGAAAAACTGAAATATTGCTTTTGATGATTTTCTTTGACAATGAGTCTACATTTTGAATTGTAAATGTTGATTTACAAATAAATGATGGAACTGGGACCGATGTGAAATGGATTAATGAAAGGCGATATGTTTGGATAAATATGGACATTTTCACCGACCAAAATCAGGCTTTCATATTTTGTAGAATAAATGCTAGTTTTCTTAACTTTGCAAAGATATTATTTCTTGTGAATAATTTCTATTTTGATTGACCAAATGTGTTTAAGACTAGAAATAAACTGATATCTGTCTTTTCTGTAAAATTTACGCACCAAATATTTTTGTAGTAGAATTCTATTTTTTTTTAAATGATCATGCATTAAAAGTAATCTTATTTAAGATGATGAGAATTAAAACGAGATAATTTTCCTAAACATTGATTTTTTTTTGTACATCTACAAAATATATGTTTGGCGAATTTGAAATCAAAATAAATAAAAGAAACATTAAACATTGTATTTCTTTGAAAAACAATCGTTGATGCCTTCTTTTTGAAGCAATACCTCTATCTAAGCCCACAAGCAGCTTTCCCAATTCTGACTTGTAATACTCATAATAAATTGCAATGGCACAATTCCCAGCTTCTGGTATATAATAAATACTGAAAATAAATCTTCAGTCTCAATGTGTTTTGTTCACAAAGTCCACCTGCGACGTTTACTTGAGGAAGGACTCAGTTAGAATGCTCACATGAATTATTTGTTGCTTTAGGACAATATCTTATGAATTAGATTTGATGGAGATCATTGTCTGACGTCATAACGTCAGATGCTTCTGGTTAGATGAATCATTTAATGAAAACTCGTTCTTGAAATTTTCATACCAATGTTGATTTCACATTGAATAACAAAAAGAGGACTGCTGGAATATGTTAAACTTTCTATTGAAATTCGAGTATTGGAAGCTAAAACAAACATTTTTGGTATCTTTACTACCACAATTTAGATTGCATAACATTGATAGCATATTTGGTTATTTAGCGATCCATTTTCGAAATTCCCATCAAAACAGCACAAAAGACGCTGGTCAACACTAGGTGAACATCCTTATTAAATCAATCTTTAATTATAGATTTCATCTCCTCCCTGTCTTCACAACACAAATTTGTATGTGCGGAACAAGAAAAACATTGGTGTTTTTTGATTTACTGTAAAAAATGATGTTTAACGTGTGTTTAATTTTTAAACAGTCGTGTTTTACAATTAAACATAGTGGGTTTAAATACAAAACATTAGCGTTTTATAAATAAACACTGCTATTTCAACTGGTGTTCAATTAGTATGGTGTTTAATCATCCATCTTAAACTCGTAAAGTTCATAGGCATCAAATCAAAAAATAAATTAGGTGTTGCTTCTCAGTATTGCTGTGTGCATTTGCCATTTGTATAATTTCTTAATTTATGAAGTAAATCCGCACATAGAAGATATTTTTCGACACATAAAAAAATACGAATAGCCAGGCAATATGTTGACTTTAGATCATACCAATAGCAATTACAATTAACATTAACAATTAACATTAATTTATAGTAATTTTGTACCAAAAAATCATAATTTTCATAAACTGTTAAAGGGGAAAAAGAAACATATATTATGATGATTTTTATAATTTTATCAATATTTTAATCACCGGTGTTTAACACGAGTGTTCATTTCTTAACCATCATATAGGCCTATTTATAAATTAAACACATGGTATTTATATAGAAATTGCAAATTAAACACCCGTGTTTAATACGTTATGATAGAAAATGACGCAATTGATTATGTCGTAACATGCCATTTGAACGCAGAAGATGCAGAATCGCGCATATACTGCCAAGAAACACCATATCTAGGAAGGAAACAGGAGGTATTTATACATTTCTTTTTATAAAATCTGAAAAAAAAAGATTGTTAAATACATTAAAGATCTTTAATGCTTTTCATTTATGAAATGCAGGATTGTTTCCTATCGTTAGTAATCGTCTGAGTACAATGCGGCCATGCAAAGCGGTAGACGATAAAATATTTGTAGTCTTTTAGTACTTTGACATCTAATTAATTTGCAGGGACGTTCATCTGTTATTGTGAATCCTGAGAAGTATACATTACTTGATAAAGGAAAGGGATTTTAAACGAAGATCATACTTAACCTTGAGAGGTGAGTTTAAAGGGCATTCAAAGAGAAAGGGTCACCCCCCCCCCCTCCCTACACACACACACACCATTGATTCCTGGTATGTAAATGTAATCCAATTACCTGCCCTTGATAAAATTTATGCTCCCTATCACGCATTATTATGATTATTTGCTGACCATACACAACACATGAGCGTTTTTATTTACAATTATTTACGTTTGTTCTACTGGCATGTGGCGATATCGAGGTCAATCCGGGGCCTAATATTGAAAATGTCCTTGACATTTTACACCTCAATATCCGAAGTATTAGACACAAAATAGGTCATTTAAACTCGTTTGTTCATGATTTCGACATACTATGTTTTACTGAAACCCATCTTGACCATACCGTACACAATGATGATTTACACTTCGATGGGTTTTGTAATATTTTGCGAAAAGATAGAAACTGTTTTGGGGGTGGTGTTATGATCTACTTATCTAATAAAATACGGGCTGTTAGGCGCCAGGAATTTGAACCAGCTGACGTTGAATGCATATGGATCGAAATAGATAACCATACCTGTAAATATTTTTTATGCTGTGTATATCGTCCTTCGAACTCCGAGAGCAGTTTCTGGACCAAACTTTCATGGTGTATTGATAAAGTAGGTGAACATTCGAATAAGATAGTATTAGTCGGTGATATTAATGTTGATTTCTTTAATGCTCCACAAACACATATCATCCGTGAAATGATCACAACACACAATTTAGTTAACAATATCCATGAACCAACAAGAACTACGAACACGTCGAGCACGCTTCTTGACCCCATTCTCACTTCTGTTGATATTCAAGTTACCGAATCGGGCACGTTAATAATGGAGTCGTCCATAAGTGATCATAGAGCTACTTATATCTCGCTTTCTTCAAATATAAATTATAATCGTTCTTATAAAAGAAAAGTGTGGGTTTATAAAAATGCGGACTTTGAAAAACTAAACTATTTAATTGAGAATTGTAACTGGAATAAAATCATCAATGAAGCTGATACTATAGATCTGGCTACAGAAAATTTCACATCTGAATTTCTTACCAGTGTTCGTGAATGTGTACCGGAACAAACAGTAACCATTCGTCCTCGTGACAAACCATGGTTTGATTCAGTATTACGAAAAACAATAAGAATCAGAAACCGTCTTCGTAATAAAGCACTTAAAACAAAAAAAGATTCTGACTGGTCCGCATATAGAAAGGTACGAAACTCGGTTAACAATATGAAAAAACATGCGATGGCGAATTATTACGATAATATAGAAACATACTTAAATGATTCAAGTAAAAATAATAACAAACTCTACTGGAAGTTGATGAAGGATTCATTTAACGTTAAACTCTCTAACGAATTACCACCAATACAAATACATAATGATAACGGTGTAAAAAAGCTGGCTTATTCTGATTTTGACAAGACTGAAGCTTTAAATTCTTATTTTTCATCTATTTCAGCTATTGATGATTCAAATGAAACACTGCCAAACATGTATAGTCTGTGTAGTGACAAATTTTGTAAAATTACAATTGAAGAACAGGAAGTAGTAGACATTATTTCAATACTCCCAGTGAACAAAGCTATAGGTCCTGACTGTGTTAGCCATAAGATGTTAAAATCTACATGCCATTCTGTTGTCAAACCACTTACTATGTTGTTTAATAGGTCTTTATTAGAAAGAACATTTCCATCTTTATGGAAATTAGCTCATGTTATTCCTCTTTTTAAAAAGGATGATCCCTCTTTGGTGTCTAATTATAGACCTGTGTCACTATTATCTTGTGTTAGTAAAATTATGGAAAGAATTATTTTTAAACATGTGTACAATTATTTCCATAGCAATAATCTGTTTTATCGATATCAAGCCGGTTTTCTACCCGGTCATTCTACTGTGTACCAATTACTAGAAACCTATCATAACATTGTACAAAACATTGATGAAGGTAAATCATGTTGTATGGTTTTTTGTGATCTTTCAAAAGCTTTTGACAGGGTGTGGCACAAAGGTCTTATTTTTAAATTACAAACTTATGGTATATTTGGTGATCTCCTTCAGTGGTTCTCTAGTTATTTAAGTCATAGGTCACAAAGAGTTATGTATAAGGATTTGTTATCGTCAAAACTTGATATATTTGCAGGTGTACCCCAGGGCTCTGTCTTGGGGCCACTTTTATTTCTGATTTATGTAAACGATGTGGCTGAAAATATGTTGTCAATGTGTAGATTATTTGCGGTTGACAATTCGCTTCAACAATCCTCATACAATATTTTAGACATTGAATATAAGTTAAACCACGATTTACATATTTTGGAATTATGGTCAAATAAGTGGCTTCTAAAATTTAACCCATCTAAAACTAAGGTTATTTTTTTTCAACACGAAAACTACTTCTGTTACGCCTCAATTATTTTTTAAAGGTGACAGACTGGAATGTGTTCCAGTCCATCGACACTTAGGTCTACTTTTGTCACAAAACCTCAGCTGGTCTACATATATTGACGGTATTGTAAACAATGCTTATAAGAAACTTGGGCTTTTGAAAAAACTTAAGTACAAACTGAGTAGAAGTAACCTTTCAAAATTGTACACTACCTTCATTAGACCTACGCTTGAATACGCTTCTATTGTTTGGGATGGCTGCTTTAAACACGATGCTGATAAGCTTGAAAAAGTGCAACTAGCTGCCGCTAGAATTGTCACAGGGCTTCCTATTTTTGTATCTTCAGAAACACTTTATTTAGAAACTGGGTGGGAAACTTTAAAATCCAGGCGCTATATTGCAAAAATGACTACTATGTTCAAAATTCATAAAGGGGATGTTCCTATGTATTTGAGTAATATTGTCCCCAACACGCATGAAAATGTATCAAAATATAATACCCGTAATAAAGAACAGTTTATTGTCCCACGATGTAGATTAGAAGTATACAAAAGGTCCTTTGTACCAGATGCTGTGAAGCAGTGGAATTTATTAAAAGTAGAAGCGAGAGAAGCCATCTCAATTAATTCATCCCGTAAAAACTTATGGTCTATTACAAAAGTCAGCAATCCGCCAACATATTTTTCTTTTGGTAAACGCTATACAAACATAATTCATACCAAACTAAGACACAACTGTTTACTTAATTATGATCTTTATAAACGAAATATTATCGATAATCCTTTTTGTTCATGTGGTAAATACGAAGATGTTTATCATTTCTTTTTTGCATGTAGAAATTATCCAAATGCTAGAAATAAGCTTTTTAACCGCCTGTTTTTGCTTGACGAGTTGGTCAATATTGACACAAATTTGTTACTTTGGGGTGACACAGATTTGCCTCTACAAACTAATCACACAATATTTGCTGCTGTCCATAAATTTATTGATGAAACCTGTAGATTTTAAATTGCTATGTTATTGAACAGAACTTTCAATCATGTTACTTGTTAAATTAATATTTCTATGCAATTTTTTTTTCTTTGCATGACAATTGTTATATTTAAGGAGAGGAACCAGTAAGTTGTAAGAACTTGTTTCCGATCCATTTGTTTATGTCAATAAAATATGTTCAAAACACATGAGCGTTAACAACATGCAACAATACTATAATCGCGCAAGTACCAACAATAATTTTCATCCCCAGCCCGCGTAATTTAAGGAGACTTTACATTTTTGGGGTTTACATGATAGAAAATATCCTGGATAACCCCCTCCCCTTCTCTTAATTGTTGCTGTTGGGCTGCTCCTGCAGGTACATTAATATTTAATTTTTTAGTGTATACACAGTTTGTACGCTTATATGATTTATTTGTATTGCAGATTTTTATTCCAAACTTGTTTCTCAGTATAAATTATATAATTAAAATTGGCGTAAAGAATAACAATTTTTTTTCGATCTCAATGTTTTCTCATACAGAAAATTTTCTGAATTTGCATAGTGAATATTTTTTCAGGACATCTCTGATGAGAAGAAGGAACTAGAACTACTAAGGGTGAATAAAATTTTGGAGAATGGAAAACTGGAGATCATCATCCGTTGCAGAAGAACCTGAATTTTACACACAGGCAGAGGAGCTAGACTGTTTAACTCGGTTAGAATATTATATGAAAAGTGAGTGATACCCCGGCAGTTTGCAAGAATAGTTAACGAATTTAGTTCTTTACACGTCAAAATTTGAAAATTTCTTCATTTGGTTAAAACTTTGTATATTAATGAAAGTAAACTTGTCACATGTTTAACTGGATTTATTAGTGTAATACATATATATCCCTTACCCAGACAACAAATAACATTTTCAGCCTTTTTGCATTATATTTATTTATGAATTTGTTTGTTTTATTTTTAAAAAAAAAATGATGTAAAGGACACCCTTGCCCTTTTTTTAAAATAATATTTCAAAATTTTACTCCTGAAAAATATTTCATTGTATTAAGCGATAATGTATGTATTTTTCCCTATTTCAAAGACCCCCCCCCCTTTCCACCACCAATTTTATTGGAATTTAGTTCACATGCAGGTTTTACATGTTCATGCTAGTTTGTTTTGATAATTCTATTTTTCAGCTTGAATTGAACTATGTATCATCAAGCACAGTGTGTTTTGTACTGTTTTATGTTTGTTTTTAATAAAAATGTTGAAAACTTATAAACATGTTTAAGTGTTTATTTATTTGGTAAATTAAACACGTTGAAGTGTTTAAAAATTGACGTATAAACATGTTTAAGTGATTATTATCTGTTGCATCGAATAAACATGTTTAAGTGTTTAAGTGTTTAGGTTGAACGTGTTTATTAATAAAACATGAAATGTTTAAATTTTAAACACGTACTGTGTTTATTAAGTAAACTCTTTGTGTTTATTCAGTGTTTAATCTTTAAACATTTTGTGTTTTTGAAGTGTTTAGTATTTAAACAGAATGAGAAGAAGTATTTAAATGTTAAATCTATGTGTTTAGAATTTAAACATTCTAACGTGTTTATTTCTTAAACACTTCACAAGGTGTTTAAATTTTAAACGTGTTGAAGTGTTTATTATCTGTGGCAATTTGGTGTTTATTTTTAAAACACTTATTTTTTTACAGTGTACGTGTTAGAGATAAAGATGAAATTAATTAGTTATTCACGTAATAATTTTAAAAGTGTTTTTGCTTTAACCTTCAGATTTTTAGATATAAGGAACGAGACTTTTACGTTTTGAAAAATAACTCAAAAGTCTCTACACCAGTGAGTATTTAAGAAAACTTCATCCAAAAATACAAAAAAATGTTTTAGATGTAAAAAACTGTATGTAATTTTCATTAAACTGCAGAGATACCTGTTCAATTTAAATGTACCACTTCTATTTTGGTTGTATACCCCGAGATATTACATGCTGCTGCTTCTTCATTATATAATGATACTTTATAATATGGTGATTTTCTGTCATTTTCTTACAAAATCTATAAAATTTATAATATTTTTGTGAAATATTTGACAAACAAACTTCTGGAAAGCAAGACAAGGCTAAATTCAACACGTGTCGAAAACATTGTTGCATGCATCGCTTATTGCTTATAAGAAATATGCTTATGAACTTTTTGAAAAAAGAAAATGAAATAACGCCAGATATTGTTTGCTGTTTGTCTGAGAATTTGAAACGTTGGTATTTAAGATACATCTGAGATGATGAAGAATCGAGTGTTTTAAGTATGGTGGGTCTCAACCAGACTGAATTCAGGGAATGTAGGACACCTATGTGTAATATTCCAAAACCAACATTAGAGAATTTGCTTGAAAATGACTTTGATATTGCTGACATTGCTAAACCCTTTAGAGTATCAGAGTAAACCATATGTAGCAGAATGACGCTCAATGAATTGAGTAAAAGTGAGTTTTTCCTTCATAAACAAAGACGATCTTGAAACATAGATTGGAGATTTAAAAAAAAATCCTCTGTGTATTGAAAATATATTGAGACACACTCGATTCTTAGATTTATCATCTCGGCTCTATTTGAACAAGCAACGGCTTCAAGTCCGTGAACAGACAGCTTACAAATGATATATGGTGGGGTTTTTTTCTTTTCAAAATATTCATAAGCATGCTGCAATCACAATTATGCTTTCCACACTGAAGAAATGAGCTCCCGTCTTGTTTTCCAGAAGTTTTGATTCTCAACATTACACCAAAATATCATGAATTTCGACAGAAAATACTCAGTACTAGTAACAAATAATCATCAAATCTTTTAAATATTATCATATAGTGAAGGAGTAATATCATATAATGGAGGAGTATCAGTATATAATGAAGGAGTATTATCATATAATGAAGGAGTATCAGCATATAATGAAGGAGTATCAGCATATAATGGAGGAGTATCAGCATATAATGAAGGAGTATCAGCATATAATGAAGGAGTATCAGCATATAGTGAAGGAGTATCAGTATATAATGAAGGAGTATCAGCATATAATGAAGGAGTATCAGCATATAATGAAGGAGTATCAGTATATAGTGAAGGAGTATCAGCATATAATGAAGGAGTATCAGCATATAATGAAGGAGTATCAGCATATAATGAAGGAGTATCAGCATATAATGAAGGAGTATCAGCATATAGTGAAGGACTATCAGCATATAAAGAAGGAGTATCAGCATATAATGAAGGAGTATTATCATATAATGGAGGAGTATCAGCATATAATGAAGGAGTATCAGCATATAATGAAGGAGTATCAGCATATAATGAAGGAGTATCAGCATATAAAGAAGGAGTATCAGCATATAATGAAGGAGTATCAGCATATAATGAAGGAGTATCAGCATATAATGAAGGAGTATCAGCATATAGTGAAGTAGTATCAGCATATAAAGAAGGAGTATCAGCATATAGTGAAGGAGTATCAGCATATAATGAAGGAGTATCAGCATATAATGGAGGAGTATCAGCATATAATGAAGGAGTATCAGCATATAATGAAGGAGTATCAGCATATAGTGAAGTAGTATCAGCATATAATAAGGTAGTATCAGCATATAGTGAAGGAGTATCAGTATATAATGAAGGAGTATCAGCATATAATGAAGGAGTATCAGCATATAATGAAGGAGTATCAGCATATAATAAGGTAGTATCAGCATATAGTGAAGGAGTATCAGTATATAATGAAGGAGTATCAGCATATAATGAAGGAGTATCAGCATATAATGAAGGAGTATCAGCATATAATAAGGTAGTATCAGCATATAATGAAGGAGTATCAGCGTATAGTGAAGGAGTATCAGCATATAATAAGGTAGTATCAGCATATAGTGAAGGAGTATCAGTATATAATGAAGGAGTATCAGCATATAATGAAGGAGTATCAGCATATAGTGAAGGAGTATCAGCATATAATAAGGTAGTATCAGCATATAGTGAAGGAGTATCAGCATATAATAAGGTAGTATCAGCATATAATGAAGGAGTATCAGCATATAATGAAGTAGTATCAGCATATAGTGAAGGAGTATCAGCATATAATAGGGTAGTATCAGCATATAGTGAAGGAGTATCAGCATATAATAAAAGAGGAGTATCAGCATATAATGAAGGAGTATCAGCATATAATAAGGTAGTATCAGCATATAATGAAGGAGTATCAGCATATAATAAAAGAGGAGTATCAGCATATAATGGAGGAGTATCAGCATATAATAAGATAGTATCAGCATATAGTGAAGGAGTATCAGCATATAATAAAAGAGGAGTATCAGCATATAATGAAGGAGTATCAGCATATAATGAAGGAGTATCAGCATATAATAAGGTAGTATCAGCATATAATAAAAGAATGAGTATCAGCATATAAAGAAGGAGTATCAGCATATAATGAAGTAGTATCAGCATATAATGAAGGAGTATCAGCATATAATGAAGGAGTGTCAGCATATAGTGAAGGAGTATCAGCATATAGTGAAGGAGTATCAGTATATAATGAAGGAGTATCAGCATATAAGAAAGGAGTATCAGCAAATAATGAAGGAGTATCAGCATATAATGAAGGAGTATCAGCATATAATGAAGGAGTATCAGTATATAATGAAGGAGTTTCAGCATATAATGAAGGAGTATCGGCATATTATGAAGAAGTAGCAGCACGAAATGGCAGTCTTCATGTAAAGAAGAAAGACAACACGAAAGTATCATTACATAAAGATGTTTCATCAGATACATATAATGAGTAGTAATGAGTGAGTATCAGCATATGATGTCAAAGTTTCATCTCGACACACATGTATAATCGTATAATGAAGAAGTATCAGCATATAATGAAGAAATGTCATTGCAACCATGAATATTTTTCACACAAGGCATTTAAGGCCTTCCGTATCTTTTTCTTGTTTGTTGCTGTAGTTTGTAGTACACTCTCTCTTGTGTTGTTGTAGCATACCCTTGTATTTTCACGATTAATCATGACGACTTATTATCGGCCGCTGGAGCGGTCGGTCTATTTGTGGTTGTGTTAGAAAGTGCACATGGGGAAATGAGACGCTATTTCTTTAACAGTAAAGTAAAATAATTCGTTAATGATATTATCATAACATGCATAAAAATTGAGCAAAATATTTTTAAAACTTCTTTTGAACTAAATCTTAATTGTTGTTATTATGTTTTGAATTCAATTTGATTTCTCATTATTAATTTATGATTATATAAAAAGGGTTTACAATAGGTACTCCTCATAAATCGTTATGATTTTCCGGATAAAAAGTGATGAATAAAAATTGAAAAGTTGGTAAAACTAGTAAAAATTGTTTTGAATATGCTACAGCTCGAATAACACAAGGATGATTTTTCTTCCACACAGTGCATCGTGTTGTCCATCTCCGCGCCGTTAAGCATAGTCTGCAGAAACCATCGGCATCAGATCACGTGACAAAGATCCAGGGTATCAGCGCGTGGTTCACTTTCTTGATGACAATACATTCTTATCATTTATCACTGATTATCGATGAATCAACTTAATGAAAAAATGCACTGAAATTTCATTCCTATTTATCTTGCAATTTTTGCTTTTTATGGAAGACAGTCTAAAAAAATGTTCTCTCTTTCAGCTTTAAATGACTTGCGCTTTCCTTGAATGCTTACTTGTGAAAGTACTTTTTAAAATGCTAAATTTGTTTTGCAGCCAATTTGATGCTTTGCATCATTTTTACTTGTTTTTATTATTGCACCTCATGTACCAGTGACATGGTGTAAGCGAAATAAATGAACATGGGTTCGAATCACAACGCGGGACAAGATCGAATAAACTAAGGTCCCACGTAGTATTAAAGACTAAAGACTATCTTGAGAAAATCTCTTACTGCTCAGTGACCGTAAGTATTGAGAACAATTAAAAGATTTGCAGCCTTACACAGGCAATTGGTGGCGTCACATCATGAGTGAAATATTCACAAACAGACATAGAGCAAACCTACTTTAAAGAACAACAACTCTGAAATGATACCGTCAAATGAGTTAAAACATTCTATTCAAATACCTAGAGGTTTTTTGCATGTCAAACGTTGCAATATTCGAACTTTTCCATTTTCCATTTGTATTGTAAAAATATACAATGCAAATGGAAATTTATGGAATACAAATGGAAAATTATACAATAAAAAATGGAAAATTAAACAATACAAATGGAAAATTATAGAATACAAATAAAATTATACAATACAAATGAAAAATTATACAATACAAATGGAAAATAATACAATACAAATGGAAAAGATCGAATATTGCACCGTTTGACATGCCATAGACATGTGTTTATAAAAATTTCTCTTGATAGGAAATCAAAATATGTTTTAAAACATTCTCGGTGACTGTAATACCCTATCAACCCTTAGAATGACAAATGAAAAACTTTGACTGGTTTAACGACAAGCTGAGCATGTGTATTGAGATATCTTATTAGAAAAATTACATCCGAGTGGAAAAAATTCACTTTTTCAATGTTGCGATATCAGAACGTAACAGTGTCACCCTATAGGAATGATAATAAGCGTAAAATTAAAACCAATTAACAGGCAATTTTTAAGATTCCATATTTTATCATAAAATCTTTCTAATTTTGCACGAAATGTCAGTTAATTTTTGTCGTTCTTTTTTGTTTCGATCATTGGTATTCTCCCCCAATTACCTAGATATAGCTAAAACATGAAAAATTAGATAACATTTACAGCAACCGTTTAAAAAGCTGAGACAGAAATGGTGAAACACATCGATCGAGTCAATAAGTTTATTTTCGAAAAATCTTTGCAAACAAAACCACATAGCGAAACACTGCATAACAATTGTTCCCTGCATTCGACCTTCTCTCTTACATCACTACGGAGGAGTATTCTGTAAAATTAACAGAAAATGTCAAAAGTCATTCTTATGCAAGTTAATATAATTTTCTTTCACAATTTTTTTTCCAGATAAATACATTTTACAGAGAAAAATAATATTTAGAACAAATAATAAATTAGAAAATACTCATATCAAAACGGTGTATATTATTTCAAATACTTAGTACCTAGAAATATACATGAGTAAACAAAGAGTATATACATTAAATACTCACCTTCCCAATTAAGTTTCCCATCGCCATTTTTATCCCCCGTCATATAAAACATGTCCACAGTGTCCTGTGCGTCCCGAGGGGAGAGGCCGACATTAATAGCGATCTGAATCAACTCGTCCCTGGACACATATCCATCTCTATTAGAATCTTCCAACTGGAACCACTCCTTAGCCTTAGAGAGGCCATAAGAAGGGGACACAACTTCTGTTATGTAGTCCGGGATAAAATCAATAATCCCATTACCTATTTTTGCGAAATAAAGAATATCATTTTACTGATTTAAATATGATTTGTAGTCTACTTATTAATACATAATTCGATTTCCAGAAATTATTAGTATATTATTGAATAATAATATTCTGTCTCGAAGAAATAGATCCCCCCAAGTTTTGGAAGAGAGAATTTTTCGCCAAAAACCAAGTTAATTTATTTAAAATTTAAAGCGAACCATATTGATACTAGCAGGCAATTGAATAAAAGAAAGGGGGGTTTGTAAAAATACCAATTTCGTAATATTTTAAAAACTTAATGCCAAACTTTTGTTGCAAGTGGGTCATAGGGAACAAAACTCAAAACCGTACTGTACATCTTCTTGCCACCTAACTTTTAAATGCTTGGTGTCAGGGCTTCAAATTTCACACAAGTGTATTCCTTGTGACAAGACCTTTCTTTGGGTACCAACCTATTTGACCTCTTGACCTTAGAGTTTGACATACTTTTGCAAAAATTTACCAAACTTTAACCTTAGCCATAACTTTTGAACGGTTGCTGCTGCTAAGGCTTTCATATTTCACTTATGTATTCTTTATGCCAAGACATTTACTTTGGTACCAATATTTTTGACCTCATGACATTGACCTTGTAGTATAACCTACTTTTTGAAAAACTTTAACCTAGGTAATATTTTTAAATGGTTGATTCTTGGACTATTTCACATGCTTAGGCCTTGTGACAAGATCTTTCTTTGGATATCAACATTTTTGAACTCTTGACCTTGGAGTTTGACCTACATTTGAAAAACTCTATACTTGGCCTTGAGCTGCTTCACAAACGCATCTTGTTTGTTTATGAAAACAACAGTTTCTCCTGCGTGGTTAGAGTTTGTACCAAACTGGAGTCTGAGTTTAAGACATTTAGGATATTGGGGTCATGCATATATTTTTATGTGGTTTTGTTTTTTTTTTAATGTGTAAAATTTTGAAACTGGAAAAAAAACACATGGTTTGAAAAAGTCATGCAATCAAGGACAATTCCTGATTAAGATGAATTTTTTAGCCTAGAAATTTAGTGAAAGAGACATTTTTCTTATCAGAGGATCACATTCCAAAATCAACCACCGAATCTCAAAATTAATCCCACATCCTACCGCGAAAAATTGACTGAGATAATAGTCACAATATAGTTATAAACTAAGAATCACCTTCCCATTTTTGATTCACGAAAATCAATGCGATGAAAATACACATACAATGTTTTTTATGCCCCCGTATCGAAGATTCGGGGGTATATAGTTTTTGCCCTGTCCGTCCGTCTGTTTGTCTAGCTGCCTGTCTGTCTGTGTGTCCGCAAAAACTTTAACCTTGCCCATAACTTTTGATTGGTTGGAGCTATGACTTTCATATTTCACATGTGTATTATTTGTGACAAGAACTTTCTTTGGGTACCATCATATTTGACCTTTTGACCTCGACCTTGAAGTTTGACCCACTTTTGCAAAAAATTATGAGACTTTAACCTTGGCCATAACTTTTGAACAGCTGGTGCTTGGGCTTTCATACTTCACATGTGCATTTCTTGTGACAAGACCTTCTTTTAGATACCAACAACTTTGACCCTTTGACTTTGACCTTGGAGTTTGACCTACTTTAAAAAAAAAACTTTAACCTTGGCCATAACTTTTGAATAGTTGATGCTAAGGCTTTCATACTTCACATGTGTATTTCTTGTGATAAGACCTTCCTTTGGATACAAAACACTTTGACCCTTTGACCTTGACCTAGGAGTTTGATCTACTTTTAAAAAAAACTTTAACCTTGGCCATAACTTTTGAATAGTTGGTGCTAAGGATTTCATACTTCACATGTGTATTTCTTGTGATAAGACCTTCCTTTGGATACAAAACACTTTGACCCTTTGACCTTGACCTAGGAGTTTTACCTACTTTTGAAAAACTTTAACTTTGGCCTTAATTTTTGAACCGTTAACGCTAGAGCTTTCATATTAAAATGTCTATTTCTTCTTACAAGACATTCCTTTGGATACCAAACACTTTGACCCTTTGACATTGACCTAGGAGTTTGACCTACTTTTGAAAAATTTTAACCTTGGCCATAACTTTTGAACGGTTGGTGCTAGGCTTTCATACTTCATATATGTAATCCTTGTGACAAGACCTTCCTTTTGATACCAACCACTTTGACCTTGACCTAGGAGTCTGACCTACTTTTGAAAAACTTTAATCTTGGCCATAACTTTTGAATGGTTGGTGCTAGGGCTTTCATACTTCACATATTTAATCCTTCTTTGGATATCAACAACTTTGACCTTGACCTTGGAGTTTGACCTACTTTTGAAAAACTTTAACTTTGGCCATAACTTTTAAACAGTTGGCGCTAGGGCTTTCAAACTTCACATGTGCATTACTTGTGACAAGACTTTTCTTTTGATACCAATAATTTTAGCATTAAACTTGACCTTGGAGTTTGACCTACTTTTAAAAAAAACTTAAACCTTGGCCATAACATGTGAACGTTTGGTTCTAGGGCTTTCACGTTTCACGAACATGTGTATCACTTTCGACAAGACCTTTCCTTGGGGTCCCATTTGACTTTGACCTACTTACTTTTACAAAACTTTAACCTTCATCTTAACTTTTGAACAGTTGGTACTAGGGATTCAAATTTCACAGGCATATTCCTCGACACGAGACCTTTCTTCGGGTACCAACAGTTTTTATCTCTTGACCTGGAGTTTGACTTGCATTTGAGAAACTTTAACCTTCGCCATAAGCTGCCATACGGGGGCATCAGTGTTTCACAAACACATCTTCTTTTTTTTTTTAAACAAACTTTAAAACTGTCCTCAAAGAACTGCCAGTAAATGAAAAATTTCTGTTATAGAGAAAGTGAAATAAGAATGGGATGAGTTTGATCCACTAAACTATCAGTGATGTATATTAACAATGTACAATTTTCAGGATCAAAGTTACTACTTGTTTTTAAGTCATTTTAATAGACAGCTTGAGCTTTCAATTTAATTATAAATACAATGTTTTATTTAATTTTAAACTTGAAACACTCAATTTCAAATACTTTGAGTGATATTTGAAATAAATTACCATTTATATCTCTTCGTTGGATGAAGTTTCCTACTTCGGAGTCCTTGATAACGGGGTTGTATTTAGATAGATAGTGTTTCACTTCCTCAAAGCTTGCCTTTCCGTCCCGGTCTTTGTCCACTGAGTTATGAAATTGGGCCTGAAATACTTAATCAGAAAATAGCCTTTAAAAATGCATGTTACTTCTTTACCACAGAAAGCAATGGCATTTCAATTTTCTTATGAAATTTTTACAACCCACGAGAAATTTCTTGTGCCTCACCTGAAATTCGATTTTTCGGGGAAATGGAGCGAAGTTTATGAAATGAGTTTTTTGCTCTACTGGTCAGAGACTACAAGAGCTTATGCGATAATAAGGTGTCCGTCTGTCTGTCTGTCCATCTGTATGTAAACAATTTTTCAAAATGCTATTCCTCCTACAGTTTTGATCTGATTTCAGTATAATTTGGCATACATGTAAACTACACTAAGATACGTAATTCAATGCAAAGATTTTTTTATTTTAGTGTACGGTGTTGCCATGGTTACTAAAAATAGAATTTTCTCCGAAATACTTTTAAAACGCTACACCTCCTACAGTTTTAGTCTGATTTCAATTTAACAAGGCACATAAATAGACTACACTAAGATACATAAACCAGTGCATCAATTTTTGATTTTGATAAACGGTGTTGCCATGGTTACTAAAAATAGAAATTTCTGTGAAATTCCTTTAAAACACTACTCCTCCTACAGTTTTTATCTGATTTCAATATAATCTGACACACAAGTAGACTACATTAAAGTACGTAATTCTGTGCATCGGTTTTTAATTTTGATGAACAGTGTTGCCATGGTTGCTAAAAATAAAAATTTCTATGAAATTCTTTTAAAACGCTAATCCTTCAGTTTTTGCTCTGATTTCAATACAACTTTGCCCACAAGTATACTACACTAAGATACATAATTCTGTGCATTGGTTTTTGATTTTGATGAGTGGTGTTGTCATTGTTATTAAAAAAAAGACATTTCTGTGAAATACTTTCAGAATGCTACTCCTCCTACAGTTTTAGTCTGCAATGTAACTTGGCACACAAGGCGATTTCAAAATCAAATAATTCTGTGTATCGGTTTTTGCTTTTGATGAACAGTGTTGCCATGGTTGATAAAAAACAGAAATTTCTGTGAAATACTTTCAAAACGCTACTCCTCCCACAGTTTTGATTTCAATATAACTTTGCACACAAGTAGACTACACTAAGATACATAGTTTGAAATTGATAATGGTGTTGCCATGGTTACTAAAAATAGAAATTTCTTTGAAATTCTTTCAGAAGGCTACTCCTGCAAAAGTTTGAATACGTTATTGTTTTGAGACTTTTTTTACTCAAGATTCCAAAGAGTTCACAGCCAGATGATTTGACTAGCTAGGTTACAGTGAATACAAGAACGATAACTCATATGTTGAAAATACCATTCATTTTCACTTACCTTTCACACATTAAAACAAACAAACAAACAAACGTTTTTGCTTTAATTTTCAATTTCATTGTCTACATATTTTGCTTATTTGGAAAAAGAGACTCATAGCCCACTCACTTAACATAACGTGAAGTTTAAAATGAGAAGTGGACGAAACTCGTTAATTGTGACATTTTTTTTTCTAACGGTTTAATTAAGATTTTTGATTATTTCCAATTCCAAACTAGGTTGATTTTATTTTCTTTTTTTCAAGTCTTTCGTAGCTTTCTGCTAGAAAGAATTTGCCAAAGACAGATTTTATGTATAAATAAAAATCTAATCTCAGAAAAACTAGTACTAACTTTGGTTGTCAAGTGGTTTCACCTCAAAACCTACATGTAGATTGTTTATACATGTACAATATAAACCTTTTTTTTTTACATTGTGCACAGCGAAACTGTGTTTAAAGTATAATTTAATTTTTCACATAAAAAAATAACAGCTTTATTGTAACCTCAACGTAGCCCAAGGGACCCTGATTAAACCAAACTTAAATCGACACTGTATGAAGATTTTATACGAATATTAGAAAATGTAGCCCTATTGTTCTTGAGAATTTTTTTTTAAATACCCCCCCCCCTCCCCCCATTTACTACATTTTAAAACTCAATCAACACTGCGAGAATGTACGTATTTATTAAAGTTACTCAAACACGTGTTCTCGTCATCTATTGGCCGTTAGATATCGCATACAGTTTTCCAACACATGGAATCATAAGACATTTAGGAAGGATTTTCCCCAGAAGTTAGACCTACCCCTGTATTGAGTGATTCGTTTACCAGGAAGCATCTATGGCATCTTCCTTTAAACTAAAACCATCATGATTTTGAGATATCTTGATACCAACAGTGTAGTTCCTGTTCTTATCCAAATTAACGTAGAGTAGTTTTTCATCTGACAAGTCATATCACTATCCACTTAATTAATAAAGTCTATACATATTTCCTATCAGCAATTTTAAAACAATTTTTTTTTTAAAATAAATTGTCTTTTGCAGGGCTATGTATAACTTAGAGGAGCAATTAGAAAAGCACGTAAATATAAGATTATCGTCAAAATAAGTGCATTTACACTAGGTATTGCATCATTTTGAGTTAAAAAAAAAAGAAGAGATTCTTATGAATTTTAGTGACACGTTGAGAAAGCTGAACATTTCGTCTCTCTTTTGCAGAGTAAATTACATCAAGTTGCGCAATTTCTATCAGCATTATTTCTTCATTTCCATTTTTCATTTTCTTTACGACATTATAATTGTATCATCCCTCTTGAAACTTATCGTTTTTTCTCCAGTCAAAAGGTTATTTTTTTTCTTGGACTCCTAATAAATGTATAATCTAAGATGATGGCATCCAATAAGTCTTAATTATTTTAACACCTAATCAAACCAAATTTACGATGACGGCGCTTCGATTTCTGTTGAAGCACCATCGCCGTGATCTATCAGACATTTACACGTCAATTGCCGCATCCGGACGGCCACTATGTAGATTACCTTCAAGCTGTTGGATACTGACACAGCTAGCGTCGTTTTCGTAATTTCGTTTCCTGGCAGTCTTTAGGCCGTAGGTGCTGTATGGGAGAGCCAAAGAGTGGGCCAAAAAACACTTGCAGCTGCAAACAGCGGCAACAAGGTATAGAAAAATGTTCATGTTGTTCCTGAAAGAATAACGACAGTGGCGAGTATACCGTATATCATTTTCTAATTATAACTATCCAGATGCAAATGGCTAAATGATATTATTAAAAAACCATTGCTAGTGCAAAATTTTCCCCAGCGTCAAGGGAAAGTGTTGTTTAAACAACTCTAGAAATATTTACATAAAAAAAAATCACAATATAAAATTATATGATTCAAGAGGATCTAAGTGAATTAAAATTTACAAAACGCAATGTAGTTTTCCAAAAATTTTGACATTTATTTTTGTAATTACCAAAACACAAAAGAATTGTACAAATATAAACACACCCACAAAGAAAAGGGAAAATGCGATTTTGGTGAAATTTGCAATTCTTTTGCAACATGCTTCTAGACGATAACATCTAGATCTCTTTGAAATGATGGTTCTCTAACGGAAGTTTTCCAAAAAAGAATTATTGACAGATATTTTTAACACAGTTTTCCAAAATAAATAAATACATGCATAAAAAATAACAATAATAAACAAAACTCCCACACACTGACTATAACCTGAACTCTAAAATCACAAAAATCTTTTGAATGACGTGAACCATTCTCAATCTCAATGTTTCTAAGACAAAACTTAAATATTTTGAAATCATGTGTAAACGACTCTGTTGAGAAATAATACGTCAAATTCAAAGAAAGTACCTAACAACATCAATTATAAAAGCAAGAAAAAGTGAGTTACTGTTATAATTTTTATACATACACATTGATAAATGGTTGGAGTTCTGCTTGTATTTAAGCGTTTCTGTTTCCGCACTTACCCCCTTGGTATAAACTGCACTGCTTGCCAATGCTACAAATCCGACGGCTGCCAATTTACAAGTAAATTAGTAACTTCCCACAAACTCTATTTGTACAATCCGGGATGAAAACGTCTTATCCAATCGGTATTCCCGATTAACTTTCTCAGTCCCTTAATATAACACCTAATATAAAACTTAATTCTCCTTAAGGCTTATAGCAAATTAATTAATATTTGGACTACCTTAGAATTCTAATCAAATACTGTTATTATGGAAATGTCCGATTGTTGTCCTAACGTGCCAAGAAACTCAATAGAGAACCCCGAATGAGATAGATCACGACAATATGATGATGCTATTTCAAACGCCTACATATGCAACTTAATTGCACTGTTGTATCCCCCTGAAATAGCCTCCGAGACTTAATACTTGCGCAATATATTTCAATTTTACAAGGCTATCTTATGAAATTATGTCCAAGGAAGATGACATTCATTCATTATGATATATTCCCTTAGTTTTCAATTTAGCACGAAAAAAGACATTTACTCTCTAAAATTCTCATTTTGGATTAAGTTAACCAGGTCCGTAAAAAGCAATTCAATTTGAGAGAGGAATACATTGTGGTGCAGTGTAGAGGGTACCAAAAAGTCTCTCTTTGAGAGAGAGAGAGAGAGAGAGAGAGAGAGAGAGAGAGCGTGTCTCTTCTTTTTGTGCCACATCCGTAAAATTTCAAACGATTCATATACTGTATAATGTTTTAACTAGAAATTATAAATCAATTCAGCACGATACAAGGTTAACCAATACCTTCCCTTCCTTTCGATTCCAAAATAAAGAACCAAACACAGGAGAATATTGCAATGGGTTTTATTTACACTTTTTGCATAATATAAGATTCATTTTGAGAAATTTAATGAAAATACAATACAAATTTAAAATGTTATATAAAACCAGCAAGTTATACACTGTATACAATTATAAAAAAATCTCACCCATGCATCAACAACAATAAATAATAAAACAATAACATGTCAACATTTCATTTAAATAAACATCATATGTATTTATTGATAAAGTTTTAAAAAGATCGATAAGCTACTTGATATAACATTTCTAGGAGATAATAGCACTATCTTCAACAAAGCTATTCACCAAACGAATTTTTTTTTTCAAATCGTTCATTCTAGCATCATTGACCAATTTTGCAAATCTTGGCTTGCTTGTATTATTGATAAAAGCCTTGTTATTTTTCCTCAGTGCGCCTCAATCCTAATGCTATTTTTCCTAGCGTAGCTACAGTGCGCCTCAATCCTATTGCTATTTTTTCTAGCATAGCTACAGTGCGCCTAGATCCTCATCTTGGCCAGCGCAACCAGAGAAAGAAGAGTTTACAACTCTCTCCTTTTTTTTTTTACAACCCTGTATATTGAGAAAGGTGTTTTTTAAATCTCAAATTCTCTGCTTTTAGAAACAGAGCTTCATCTCAAAAATATCTTTTTAAACAAGACAGGTAAGAGACCCCATACTACATTTTTTTTGGGGGGGGGGGGAACCTATGAAAAATGATAGCACTATCTTTAACATAGGTATTTCTCAAACCCAAATTGACAAAAAAAATCATTCATTCTGACAGCATGTGCACCAATCTTGCAAATCTTGTCTTGCTTGTATTACTAATGAAAGCTTTGCTACTTTTCCTAGCGTAGCTACAATGCGCGCCTCGATTTTGTTGCTATTTTTCCTAGCTTAGCTACAGTGCGCCTCATTCCTGTTGCTATTTTTCCTAGAGTAGCTGCAATGCTCCTTAATCCTATTGTTTTTTCCTAGCGAAGCTACAGTGCGCCTCAGTCTTGTTGCTACTTTTCCTGCCGTAGCAACAGTGTGCCTCGATCCTAATCTTGACCAACACAACCACAGGAAGAGTTTTTTTTAACTCTCTCCTTTTGGCAACCTTTTATTTCAAGAAAGGTTTTTTTAATCTCAAAATTCCTGCTTTATGAAACAGGGCTTTATCTCAAACTATATATATTTAAAAAAAACCCAGATAAATGACTCCATACTACATTTCTTGGAAAACTTATGGAAAGTAATATCTCTGTCTTTAACATAGGTATTTCCTAAACCCAGAATGACAAAAAATCGTTCATTCTTTCAGCACCAGTCTTGCAAATCTTGGCTTGTTTGTATTACTAATAAAAGCTTTGCCACTTTTCCTAGCGTAGCTACAGTGCATCTCAATTGTATACTCATCTTGGTCTGCGCTATCATTGGAACAGTTTCTACCTCACCGTTTTCCTAACCTATTTAACTCGAGAAAATGTTTTATTTATATCAGGATCTCTGCTTGCGAGATGCCTTATTTGTAGGAATAGCCATTAAACATTCTATGTGAAGAGTTTCGAACGCTCCTCATTTATAATAGCTACTTAGAGAAACGGGACTTTATCTTAAAATATTTGCTATCTGGGTTACGCAATTCTCCTGACATTACTAAATATCTTTCATGCAATTAGATATAATGCAAAAACAGTCTTTACACGAAGACTCCCTATAAGAGATAATTTGAAAAAAAAATCGTATAATTACTAATATCATTATAATCATTCTAATCAATCTTATGTAACCATCTCAGCCGCCCTGTATGCATTTCCAAGTATTTTGTAAATTTGTGATAAATTTCATTGGAAAAATTTAAACATTAACATTTCATTTTCATTTCTTCGGAGTCAAATTTTTGGAATCATTACTTCAAAAAATTATCAGGAATGGAGGGTAGAGAAAATAATTATGTTTTCAAACAATACAAATATATTTTCTTAACCCATTCAAAAAATTGGAGTGTTATTAGAAATTCCGTTTACCCCTATATAAACAACACGTGCGTAAAAAAAAAATAATAATAATAAAGCTACACGAATACTGAAATTGTCTCCTATATCAATCAATGATTTTTTTTTTAAAATATAAAAGTGTTTTCTTTAAAAAAAAATTTAACCCCCCAAAACTGAGCTGTTCTTGAAAAAAATACTCAAACTTAAAATTAATCTCTATCTGTATTTCTTGCGCATCCAAAGCAGGCACGGAAGCAGGACACCAGGCTTCCGATGATGTTACGCTTGGGCTGAAAATGGAGTGTTCGTACAATAAAGGTCATATTACTATCCAAGGAGTACGAGGGTCGTTCAATAGATAATGCAACAAACAGTATATCATAGTAAATGTCGATCTATTCAATTTTATTTTTTCACTGTTGAAACGTTCAATTAAAGAGCTCCTAATCACAGAAAACTCCATGATTTTTCCTATTTCCTTGCAAAGAAATTCACTTTTAAAGTATGCATGGTTACTACACTGAGCTGAAAACTGTTTAAAAATGATCTCTGCCAAGAAGATGAAAATGAGAGCGTATGTGAAAAGTGTGCTTCTTTACATAAATCGCCGAAGAATTCATATTAAAGATATGATTTTTTTATGCGGAAAGAATAGTCGCTGTATAGTTTTCAGATTGATTAAGAAATTCAAAAGAAAAAAGGAGAGTTAAAATATAACAGTCAAACTGGTCGATGGAAATTTGTAGGGACACCAAAAATTATTGATGCAATGTGCAATATGATATCTGAAAATGTCAGATTTACATCCAAAGACATTGCTAAAAACTAAGCATTTCATCGTCATGACATTTTATAGAACTCTGACAACGGAAATGAATATAATAATATTTCTATCAGATATGTGCCTTATTTTCTTAAACTTGTCTAAGAGATACATACGCATTAATTGTGCCAACGGTTTACTTAAAAACAAATATCTTAACAAAATAGAAGATTTGTTAAAATTGTGTGATGGATGACGAAACATGGGTGCACTTTTTATAGCCAAAAAGTAAGATCAATAATAAAATGTGGAATCAAAGAAAAAGCTATTGTTCTTATTACAGTAAAGAGAAACAAGGGCTCCAAGCATGTTTTATTAGTTTTCATTTTTTCAAGAGGTCCAGTAAAACATGTAGATACACCCAAAAGAAGGACCATCAATGGTAACTTTTATGTTCAAATTGCACTGAGGAAAGATAAACAGATTTCTTGCAAAGGAAGTCCAAATGCCACACCCAGGGTAATTTTCTTGCACCTGGCAAGCTGCTGCAAATAAGCACGGAGAAATAAATGAAATTCTGAAGAAAAGAAATTTAACAGAGCTTTGCCATCCCCCATATTCGCTAGATCTCAGCCATTGTGAGATTCATTCTAAAAATGCATGAAAACAATCAAAGGAAGATTGTACAATATTAGACATGTCATGGAAAGTGATATTCATCAGTGTCTTTTGGGCATCCCGAAAGATGGGTATGCTGAGGTTTTCTGGTCATGGGTACAAAAACTTAAGACATATGTAAAGGATAACAGGGAATGCTTTGAGGGATTGAAAATATTTAGAATATGTATTACTTACTTTTCTTACTTTTAGATGACCTATTGCATTATTTATTGAACGACCCTCGTAAACATTTGAAGACGTCAAATTAAATAAGTTCCTCCGCAAGAAAAAAGTGGTGTCATCCGCCAAAATTCATAACTTTTTTAATGAACTTTTATACAAATATGTTTGTTCATGTTTTCTTACCTTTACACGTGCTCGGCAACCTCCCTCTGATACCATTACAGCGGCAGAAAAGGCACTGTGTATAGCCGTAATAGACAGTCTCCTAGCCTAAGTGAAAAAATATCATTAACTGAAACAGGGTTGTGGTTTACACAGAAATCCAATAAAACACATATATAATGTGTATGAATAGTTTTAGTGAAAATTTTCAAAAAGCATTACCTCCATCTCAATGCTCTCCTTAGAATTGACAGTTTTGGTGGAAATTGGTGAGGTCTGCCCGGTCTAAAGGATAAAACATCATATTTGTTCATTGATATGATATATATTTTGTATAAAAAAGAATACTCAAATTATACAAAGAAATTCCGACAATTTATTTTGAAAATGACCTTTACTATTTTTGCTACACACACAGAAAAATGCACGGTTTCCATTGGTTATTAGTGCGCAAGCGTGATTACCTTTTCCAGTACCTCCAACTCCTCGGAAATAGTAGGCAAAACAACCGCAGTTGACGACTAGTGTAAACATAAAAGATTATTATATGATTGAATAATTCCCATCTCTCTGATTGGCTGAGATCCAACAATGTTAGAAAAATACTACATTATATTGACCTGCACGTGATCTTCCAGGTCAATATAAGGAATTATTTATTCTACATTGGACTAGAAATAGATAGGGAAATTCCAAATTGATGCAAATAGTTTTGGAAAGTTATTTCACTTGCATATGACATCCACTCATATGAACATAACATTAAGGCACATAGATTCTTGGGTGAGGGGTCGGGGAGGGGGGGGGGGTGCAGGAGTCCTGCCCCTCTCCCCACCTTTTGAGAATGTTAAGTTTTAATTTAAATTTTAAGGATAAAAAATTTCATTGTAAGCCCCCCTCCCCTCGAAAGGTTTATGTACCTTTACATCCCACCAAATAAAATTTTGATTTGGGAGAATTCTTTTCCTTTTTTAGGGAGGGGGGCTAGTCAAAGATTTGTTTTCAGGTACGTTGTCATTTTTTTCCCTTTTTAATGCCCCCTTTTTCAAAATTAATCCTATATATTGCCTGACATTTATTTTTCTACATTGCACCTAAACTAGAATTAAAATTTTCAAAATAATACAACTGGTTTTTTAACTCCGTTTCTCTGATATTCGGCTAGTACTTCAGTAGATGTGAACAAGTAAGATGGCACGGATTGCTTAATGAGTGTGTGTCATTTAATCATTGAATCATATAATAAAACAATTATTGCTGTTTTTTCGGTCAATACGATGATTTAGCCACCTTCGAAGTACAATATTCACCTCGCCCTTCGGGCTCGGTGAATATTGTACTCCTCAGGTGTCTAAATCATCGTATTGACCTCAAAAACCAGCAATAATTGTATAATATTAATTTAAATAAATATTCAAGTGGCATATAGTAGATATCGAATGTGAAAGTTACTGATATTCCGGGTTCAAACTTTCGATACTTCTTTTTATTACCATCTCTCTTATTGCCAATCGAGTTTTTACACTTATTTTATACTTAATTAAGTCTAGCTAAATCGTTATTGTAAAATTATTCATTTACTAATTGGACAGAAAAGATCTAACCGGTCTAAATCTCTCGTAACTGCTTTCTAGTTGTACATCTTTAACAAGGTTCATCATGAGCATAGTGGAGCTAGCGGTCGTCTAGGAGCAGAGAGAGGTCAAATATTAAAGGAACACAAAATTATTCAACAACACCACCACCACCAACAACAACAAAAGATTTCTTCTAAATGCAGCATAAAATGTCAAAATATATCTTAATACAAGGTCAAGGATGGAAATTTATATAAAGCACTAAAATGTCAAAATATATTATTTTATACATATGCCTTCTTACAAATGTGATCTAGACACCTACCAGTTCCCTTCTCGATAAGATGTGAGTAGATTCGTTTTCTTGTTCAACGTCAACATCTTCTTCCTGTCGTACAAATTATAGCTCAGTAATATATATACATGTATATTGTATAAAAGAGGCACATTTGTATATGAACGAACGTCAAATTGATTTTTTTTAATTCAACAAATTCATGTAAATCATATCTTTTTCTTATTTTATTTCTTATTTTATTTATTATGATCTGAAATTATTCTAATGGGAAAGGCATATCTGTAAACCTCAGCTTAATTGACCAACAAGAGTGATCTTTAACTGAAACAACATGTACTCTGTATTTGTTAACAAGTAGACACCTCTCCTTTTCTGACACGAAAAGGGGCAGGTTAAACATTTCCTTTTGCATCTTTGTCCAATTTTTATTACATAATACGATGTACATTCAAAGCTTCTTAAACGCCGAACACTGCAAACCAAAAAATTATCCGCCAGTTTGAATATTCGTTTAACCCCCCCCCCCCCAATCCATTTCTAGATTTCTGTAATGATAATTGTTAAGATACACAGACTAATCGTTGCAAAAACAAGCAAAGTCGCAAAAAGTATTGACACAGGAAGAAAAGACGAATTACTGTAATTCTGCCTTTGTACACACCCACATTACTGAGTGATGCTAAATATATATAAGATGGACAGCGAGTAAAATCAAATCATAAAGTCGACTAATAGATAAAAGTTACCTCAATCACGCCCAGGCTCGGGCTATCCCTGTAACCGGGGTCCATTTTATCCAATCTATCCTAGAAAAGAAATTGATAGAACTGAATGACAGTGGGGTATTCAAACTGGTGTTGATGCATCTTAACCTAAAGAAAGAAACTAAGTGACCGAGGGTGGGGCAAGGCACTTCTATTACCTCACAGATATGTTTTACCATCTAAAGACCAACGAAGGTCAAAGGGACACAACGCTCACCCGAGTCATCTTGGCCCTACTTCTTCAGAAGATTATTATTATTTTTTTTAATCCCCTTGATATTCCCGTGAAATTTCCCAAATTTTGGTTCCACCCTAGATATCAATATGATCTCTGTTTGTCCCTGTTTTGCTTTTAAATTTTCTACATATTCTCATCGAAATTTTGAATACTGTTTAACCTATTTCATCCCCACCTCATACCAGAAGGCATGATTTGAACAAATAAAAATCTGCACTAGATTGGGATGCTTCCATACAACTAATATGATTATTGTTGTACTGCAGTTTTTAGAAAAGGATTTTTAAAAGATTTTTTTTTCCTTTACACCGTATTCCAGTATTTGACCCTTTACTTGGCATCGCCTAAACCATTTGAAGATGGTCTGAATGAATTTAAACCGGCATTTTCTGAGGCATATTATTGCATAATAATGTGATTTAAATTGTGTAGTTACTGTAAAGGTTTTTACCATTTTTTCTACATACATGTGGTTCCATCTTAAATTTGCCCCTCCCCCATTTGTGGCACCACATTTCCCATGGGGGCCATGATAATGATTTGAACACGTTTGATTCTACACTACCTGAGGATTTGCTTAATCACGACCCTGTTATTCTTGAAATGATTTTTAAAGATTTTTCCTTTGTATTCCATTTAGAACTTAAATTACCTATTGTGGCCCAACCCTACCCATCGGGGCTATGGTTTGAACAAATTTGAATTTGCACTAGTGTTCGCCCTATGCACCCCTACGTTATTTTGTAATCCTTTAACGTGACCCAGCCTACTTCAGTAACCCGATCTGAAGCAACCTGAACTGACACTAATCAGGAAGTTTTCACATTAGTTTATTTCTATGACCCAGTGGCTGTCTGGAAAAATCTTTTTAATGACCTCAACCTGTTTTTGTCTTTTCTTGATTTTCTCCCCTTGGAAAGGGGGCTATTCCTTCATGTAAGAAGTCACGAAAGATTACTTTTAGTTTATAGAATACTACGAGTACTAAGAAATATCTTGGGTAAGATGTTTTTAAAAACTTTTCTGAGAGTCAAAACATGGTATTTGTCCAACACAGTGCTTTTGATAAAGTCAGCGGCATTTAGCGGTATTTGTCCAAAACAGAGCTTCTGGTAAAGTCAGCGGCATTGAGCGGCATTTGTCCAACACTGTGCCTCTGGTAAAGTCAGCGGCATTGAGCGGCATTTGTCCAACACAGAGTTTCTGGTGAAGTCAGCGGCATTGAGCGGCATTTGTCCAAGACAGTGCCTCTGGTAACTTCAGCGGCATTGAGCGGCATTTGTCCAAGACAGAGCTTCTGGTAACTTCAGCGGCATTGAGCGGCATTTGTCCAAGACAGAGTTTCTGGTGAAGTCAGCGGCATTGAGAGGCATTTGTCCAAGACAGAGCTTCTGGTAAAGTCAGCTGCATTGAGCGGCATTTGTCCAACACAGAGTTTCTGGTGAGGTCAGCGGCATTGAGCGGCATTTGTCCAACACAGTGCCTCTGGTGAAGTCAGCGGCATTGAGCGGCATTTGTCCAACACAGTGCCTCTGGTGAAGTCAGCGGCATTGGGCGGCATTTGTCCAAGACAGAGCTTCTGGTAACTTCAGCGGCATTGAGCGGCATTTGTCCAAGACAGAGTTTCTGGTGAAGTCAGCGGCATTTATCCAACACAGAGCTTCTGGTGAAGTCAGCGGCATTGAGCGGCATTTGTTCAAGACAGTGCCTCTGGTAAAGACAGCGGCATTGAGAGGCATTTGTCCAACACAGAGCTTCTGGTAACTTCAGCGGCATTGAGCGGCATTTCTCCAAGACAGAGTTTCTGATGAAGTCAGCGGCATTTGTCCAACACAGAGCTTCTGGTGAAGTCAGCGGCATTGAGCGGCATTTGTCCAACACAGTGCCTCTGGTAAAGTCAGCGGCATTGGGCGGCATTTGTCCAACACAGAGCTTCTGGTAACTTCAGCGGCATTGAGCGACATTTGTCCAACACAGTGCTTCTGATAAAGTCAGCGGCATTGAGCAGCATTTGACTAACACAGTGCCTCTGGTAAAGTCCAACACAGAACTAGCAGCATTCTTCATCTAATAAGCATATACGGGAATGCAACATTTTTCATGTAGTGATCTTATACTGAATAAGCAGCATTCTTCATGTAGTGACCATAAACAGAATGAGCAAGTTTTTCATGTAATTAGCATATACGGAATAAGCAGTGTTCCTCATGTAGTGACCTTATACGAAATAGGCAGCATTCTTCAGGTAGTGACCTTATATGGAATAAGCAGCATTCTTCATGTAATGACCTTATACGGAATAAACAGCATTCTTCATGTAGTGACCTGATATGGAATAAGCAGCATTCCTCATGTAATGACCTTATACGGAATAAACAGCATTCTTCATGTAGTGACCTTATATGGAATAAGCAGCATTCTTCAGGTAGTGACCTTATATGGAATAAGCAGCATTCTTCAGGTAGTGACCTTATATGGAATAAGCAGCATTCTTCATGTAATGACCTAATACGGAATAAACAGCATTCTTCATGTAGTGACCTGATATGGAATAAGCAGCATTCTTCATGTAATGACCTAATACGGAATAAACAGCATTCTTCATGTAGTGACCTTATATGGAATAAACAGCATTCTTCATGTAGTGACCTTATATGGAATAAACAGCATTCTTCATGTAGTGACCTTAAACGGAATAAGCAGCATTCTTCACGTCGTGACCTTATACAGAATAAGCAGTGTTCCTCATGTAGTGACCTTATACGGAATAATCAGCATTCTTCATGTAGTGACCTTTTACGGAATAAGTGACATTCTTCATGTAGTGACCTTTAACGGAATAAGCGGCATTCTTCATGTAGTGACCTTTTACGGAATAAGTGACATTCTTCATGTAGTGACCTTTAACGGAATAAGCGGCATTCTTCATGTAGTGACCTTTTACGGAATAAGTGACATTCTTCATGTAGTGACCTTTAACGGAATAAGCGGCATTCTTCATGTAGTGACCTTTTACGGAATAAGTGGCATTCTTCATGTAGTGACCTTTAACGGAATAAGCGGCATTCTTCATGTAGTGACCTTATATGGAAAGAGCGGCATTCTTCATGTAGTGACCTTATTTGGAATAAGCAGCATTCTTCTTGTAGTGACCCTATATGGAATAGGCAGCATTCTCCATGTAGTGACCTTATACAAAATAAGCAGAATTCTTCCTGTCGTGACCTTATACGGAATAAGCAGTATTCTTCATGTAATGACCTTATACAGAATAAGCAGCATTCTTCATGTAGTGACCTTTTACGGAATAAGTGGCATTCTTCATGTAGTGACCTTTAACGGAATAAGCGGCACTCTTCATGTAGTGACCTTTTACGGAATAAGTGGCATTCTTCATGTAGTTACCTTTAACGGAATAAGCGGCATTCTTCATGTAGTGACCTTATATGGAAAGAGCGGCATTCTTCATGTAGTGACCTTTTACGGAATAAGCAGCATTCTTCTTGTAGTGACCCTATATGGAATAGGCAGCATTCTCCATGTAGTGACCTTATACAAAATAAGCAGAATTCTTCCTGTCGTGACCTTATACGGAATAAGCAGTATTCTTCATGTAATGACCTTATACAGAATAAGCAGCATTCTTCATGTAGTGAACTTTTACGGAATAAGTGGCATTCTTCATGAAGTAATTTTATACGGAATAAGCAGCTTTCTTCATGTAATGACCTTATACGGAATAAGCTGCATTGTTTATGAAGTGACTTAATACAAACTGAGTGGTATTCTTCATGTAGT